GAAATCAATCTTTACAGTGTTAAGCTAAAGATCATGACCATATAGGACACAAACAGAACTTAACATTTATGGGATAATGTTTTAACTTGGATAATTAGAATACATTGATTAAGATAAGATCACTTTATTAGCCATATACAATTTCTTGCATTAGGAATTCATCTTTTTTCATACCCCAGCTTGCTCTCCATGAGACACAGGCACACAGACAGGGAGAGAAGCTTGGAGTTAGAGCACAGGGTCAGCCATTGTACAGCACCCCTGGAGGGTTGGGTTTAAGGACCTTGCTCAGGGGCCTAACAGAGTAGGATTCCTCTGCCAGGCACGGGATTCAAACCAGCAACCTTCCAGCCACAGGCACATATCCTTAGCCACAGTGCCACCACTCGGCCCAAAGCTGACACCATTATTTTCACAGAATTGTGTTTAATTGTCATACAGTCTCTGTGTGCCCTGCTGTTCACCAAGATGAAATAACAACTCCAGCTGATTTTTCTATACTTTGGAGAGATGTGAGCAGACCAGCTTCCATCCATTTTCTAAGTGCCTTATCCAATATAGGGCCATGGGGGAGCCAGAGCTTATCCCAGCAAGCAACAGGCACAAGGTGGGATACACCGTGGCTGGGACACCAAACCCATAGTAGGGCAGACAGATACAAACAGACACACACACAATAACACCAGTGCATGTTTTTACAGAAGCCAGTGTAATGAATACACCCCCGCGTATATAACAGGGATCTCAGCCGCCCAGGCTGGGGGAGTTCTCCTTTAGCTCAGTTGGCAAATTCCCTGTTGTGTGGCACTGGAGACCCAGGCTCGTGCCCAGGCATTGAGGGACGAATTGGCAGGGCAGGAGTGGTGAGGGGGGAAACCCAAAGACCTGTTACACCAACTAATCTACCTCCATGACTTTGGACTGTGGGAGGAAAGTGGGGCACCTTGAGAAAACCCATGCAAACATGGGGAGAGCATACAACCCCCAGGCAGTTATCACCCCAGGTCTGGAAGTGAACACTGGGCCCCAGTACCACAAAGCAGCAATGCTGACCACTGGACCACTATGCCACCCCTTCTTCCATTAGCTATCAAAATTATTTTAAGTTACAAACAATATCCCCCCACCCTCCCAAAAAGGAAATATATACCATTTTATTTGTTCGAATTTAGTGTGAAACTTTCACCCTTCATTTTAGAAAGTTGTTGTGTAACATTATCAGGTCACTTCTTCATGCTGTGGCTGCTGACGTTATTGGGCATCCCACAGCAGGAAAGTTCAGCCATTTCTTTTTTAGCTGAACGTGATGACAGACAGACCAAGGACCAGATGGGCAGGAAACCAAATAAAGATTAAGCAGGTATAATTGCATAAACAACTGAAAGTTACAGTGTAGTGACTGACATCTTCAAAATGTGGGACTATCTCAGGTTTCAGAGGTGTCATATGAAGAGCATCTTCTACTGAATGAGGAAAAAATCTAATGCACTATTGGAAATGTGCTGCTAATGGGGGAAAAATATATCTCTTTTTTCATTGTCACTGAAACTCCACTATATTGTGTAAATGATATATTAAATGGGGTTGTTACTTAAGGTATGCAGATCAGGGAGGTTAAGTTGTTGATGACGGAAATTTAATAAATGTGATTAGGCATAACAACTGATGAGTGCAGTTCTTCATTAGCTCTCTTTTAATCAGGATTAAAAATACCAGTAAGACAGGCTGCCTCTGTCACTAGAGAACCAATCTCAAGACAACAAGGTTGTTAAACAGGATTAAAGACTGACAATGAGAAGTCAGGAGAGGGGAACAACCTACCCAGCTGTGTGATTGAAGCTGATATTTTGGCTTCTTTCAAGAAAAGACTGGATGAGACCCTTGGATCAATTAACTGAGTACCAAACAGGCTAGATGGGCACAAATGGCCACCTCTGTGTTGTTACAGTTAATACATATCAATTTATTTTATTTGCAATGAAATTGATTGGTAAGGTCCCAGCAATATTAATAAAGTCTAGATTTACTACTTTTAAACCATTTGTGAAATACAGTATGGCCCTATGAAGCTGATGTTTTGACCTGGTTTTTGATCCCACATTGCATTTAAGGAACAAGCCATGAAAAGCCCAGAACTCATCTCTTCTGTTTCAGCTCTCGCTAACAGTGAGCGATGCTGTACACGCACTTATAAAAGTAAACACAGCAGAATTCTGAAGTCCAGTTAGCAACATAACAGGACCAACGGATGGTATATTTTCAAAACCAGAATAACCACCTTGCTTTTAGGAGAGACTGGCCTGTGTGAAACAGACGTCGATGCTAAGAAACAAGCTCGGAAGCGATCCTAATCAATCTGTTAGAATTTATTGTTCCTTACAGTGCTGGGGCCACAATAAATCCCCTCAGAAAACTCAAGTTTCTTGGAAAAATCAAAGTAATGACTGTAGCAGATGCCAGGCATGGTGAATATTATCCCATACTGTATGTCAGAGGCAAAGGATTAAATCTTCCTACTTTAATCTGAAGCACTGAAAAAATTGACTTTACAATTGCATTTCTAATTATACTTTTTAATATTTGAAGGTGATATTCACTTTAGAACTTTCCTTAAGCATCTGTAAAAAGTTTACTCAAAAGCTTAAACATTCAGCAGCTATTTAAAAGGCGAGGTATAAAGGTACTCTCAGGGAGCAGTGAGTGTGTGTTCTCCGTTGGCGTACAGTATATTGTTGTATCATATATTTTTTGGAGGGGAGATACTTTCCGTAAGACTCTTGTACCTTTCTTCAATCCAAACAAATCTAAAGCACATTCAAGTTTTCATAATTCCTGGAAACTGTAACTCAGGCTTAGGTCTGATGGTTATAATGGCTGCCCTTTTACCATTTTTGCTACGTTTTCAATCACACTGTGCAGATGTATTGGCCATTTAATTCTGTATTTCATTTCCCATTAAATATGATTTTAGGGCTTACTTTACCCTAGTAACCAGTAGCACTGAAATTTCTTTTTCTGAAACCATCGTGGAATATTGAGCCTTATAACACTTACAGTCCTTATTTATAAGAGTGCAAAAACTATTGTCTGCATATTGACATACACTGTAGGTATGTAATGATTACTTTGAATCATATTTTTATTACTTTATTACTGGTGATGTTTGATAGTCATCAGGAGAAACAGGCATACAGTTTTCAGTTTCACCTGCATCTGTTGGTATGCTTTTCTTTTCTGTAATGATGATATTGTCACTGCAAAATAAGCACCTACTGTACATGCTTCTTTTTAAGCTGACCTGCAAAACTAATTTAGATTAATGAAGTTAAGTAAGCTTTCACACTTGATATCCATAAATTCAGGCAAGTATCATACAGTCTGGAAAGGTGATCCATTATTGTTCACTGAGCAGCGACTCCTGGGCAGCTCTGTGGAAAAGCCTGCATTGTTCTTGGCCAGACAGGAAGGAAGAGACCCTGTGATCGTGGTTGTGCTGAGCTGAGGGAAATAGGCTGTTGAGTGGTAACGGTCTCGAGCAAAACTCAAGATGATTTACCACTTGGACTACAATGCTAATTTACTCTTTTTTTTCTTCTCATCTTACCGTCTTACAAGTATTCTTTGTAGTTGTTTGTAGACCTCAAAACAGCAAGTTGTAACAGCGGCAGGTTTATTGGATCAGAGGGAATAGATACTACTGTATATGCTTTCCATGACATCATAGGAGGATGACTAATGGGACTTGAAACACATGACATAATGTAAATATAGAGGAATTTAGTTCCATACTTGGTTTTAAATGTAAGAACCCTAAATCTTTTAAAGTTGAAGCTAATTAAAAACACAATGTTCATAACATATTATAATTAATAAGAAAATGAAAGAGAAAGTTCAACTGAAATTCCTTTTAGGCCATGGGTTTGGCAATTTAAGTAGAGTAGAGTAGTAGAGTTTTTCCTACATCTCCTTTAACAGAACCTAATTACGTTTGGGAAGCTGCTGCTAAGACTTAAAAAAAATATTTAAAAACCTGAATTACAGTATCATTAGTGCAATCTGCTGGAAATATCTTACTCAAAGGTGTTCTGAAAATCAAGAAACATAGTAAGCCCAGTAACAGAACCTAATAAAGAGCTGGACATACTTTCACTGTTCAATTCTTTTGTGATAATGTTTTTTCGGATGCTCTTGCATCCATCCATTTCTAACCACTTCTCCACACACAGACACAAACACACACATTCACAACAGGGCATATTTTTCCCACAAGCCAGTTGACATACCAGTATGTTTTTGGACTCTGGGAAGAAACCGGGGAGCCAGGTGGAAACACATTGAGAACATAAACCTTCCATGCATATAGCACCCCAGGAATGGAACCCAGGGGCCCAGTTCTGTGAGGACACAATTCTAAGCACTATGCCACTGTGCTGCCTGTTGCTTTTTCAGATAAAACAAAAAAAGCATTAAAAACATTCCTAGGTATCAATTACAGCTGTCACTGGCAGGATTAAAGGAGAAAAAAGCACATTTTTGAAACATGAAATGTATTATCTCTGTTGCAGGGGCTGGGACCGAATACTCGCCAAAGTTGAAAGATCTGTAGCTTTGGTTTCCCATTAATCATATAATTAAAATATTAATTTAATTATACGCTGCCTTCACACTGCCTTTAATTGAGTTTTTCCAGACACATACATATTATTATAAAATAATCTTATTTTCAATCTTCATGGGCTGTCTTAAACTCCAAGGGCATTTATTACACACATTTGTAATGGATCAGAACCTTTGGGAGGCCATTAGTTTATTGTGTATACTGGAGAACAAGAAAAAGTTGCGAAGGTGGAGTCATAAGACTTGTACTACTTTGGCATGGTGAGTCAGGCTGTGCAGCAAACATCAGTGAACATCAGTGAATGGTTTGCTTTCCAAGGAGCCCACACATTTGTTGTGAAATTATTGGTTTCTGAACTCAGCCTAGCCAAATGTGCAGTGCATATATATACCCTACGCATACTGTTGCTTCTAGTTTTTAAAAATCAAAATGATGCTAGCTGACCTTCACTATTGTTGTCTCTGTTGTCGCTTATTACTGACAGCCTGCAGACAATCTTAAGGGGGGAAAATGATTCTCATGTCCCACTAAATTGCCAGTCTCCGACAGTGTGGGAACCTATTTAAGTTTATTTAAATAGTGCACTGTGGAGACACTTCAGTATGGGGATGTGGATTTAAAACTGAAAATGGAAAGCACTTTTTTATAGTGCTGTGGATGCCTGAAACTCCGGCTGTGTTGTCGAAGCCAATATCCTGTTTAATACCCTGGGTTCTTTCACAAAATGGATGGATGACATCCTCTGGTCAATTAGCCACTGAATCCTAGATAAGATGGATGGGACGAATGGCCTCCACTTGTAAATGTCCTGGAGGTGAACAGCTTTTATTGTTGAACATTGAAAACATTTTTTCACAATGAAAATTATTATAAATTGTCACCACTTACTACTTACTAGTTACTAGAGTTATTATACATACTCTAGGTATGTTGACATGAGGTACATGTATGGTTAGTATGTATTGTGTATTGTCATTATAACCTTTGAACAATATACATAAAGAGCTAAATAGACTGTAAACATTTTTCACAGTGCTATCTATATATTATTATATAACAGTTGAACAGAAACCAAATGTGTGTAATTTTAGATACCCCGCCGACCCAGCACTATCGAAACCAGAAACCATAGCATCATATGCTATACGTATAAATACGTTATGCTGTTTTTCCATCCTGCAAATCAATTACACAGCCCTAATAACTGTATCGCATTCAGCAGTCCTAAAAGCTTGAGGTTTCGACTCAAGCTTTTAGTGAATAATGACTTCATCGTTTCCCACAGTTACTGTAAAATTAAAATAAACTAAAATAAAGAACCCAAGTATTTAGCATTTTGCTGTTTCTTAGAATGCTGAATGCGTCTCTCTCTATTTATTCTATTATAAATACTTCAATGTATTATTGTTGCTGGTGATGGCGGTGGTTTGAATTGCAATTTGTGAAAGAGAATGGCAGCTGTGGAACCTTGTGAAGACAAACACCACTTACCTGGTCGATGTGCGCCCCCTGGCGTGCGATACTTGTTTCAGCAGCAAAAGCCTTGTAAAAAATTATAAACAAACATGGCGGTCGACCGGTGGGAGTGAAAGAAACGTCTGTGCATCTTAACGGCGAGGATTTTTAACTGCGATTTCCCAGTATGATTTCATATTTCTTGTATATGACACACCTATATGGGTATATGAACACAACAGGATTGGCTGTAAAAATGATTTTTACACTTGAAAAGTTCAAGGAGCTTCGTAAAGGGCAGTTAGATTCTTACTGAGTGCCTGCGTGTTGACATCAGGTTCTGTAGGTAGAAGTACTTTACTTTGTTGTATTAACAATATTGAAAATATTAGCTCTGCGTTTTGGGCATGTGATTTAGCAAGAACTCACTGACATTTCGGTTTGAAGTTAGAAACTACTATTTTCAGTTGTAGCACTCTTTAACTCTGAAATGAGACGCCCGCTGTCATTCTTCAGTAGGACAGATTTTATTAATTTAAACGTACATACTGTACAGTATGCAGCACGCTAGTGTGCATTTAAGATCTGCATGTAGGGGATTTACCTACCGTGTTGTAACTACAGTTTTCGATATAAAATACAAAGCAAGAATTATGATGTTACTCCAACAAAATGCATGAGAAATTATATTTATGTTCATCTAACGAAAAAAAAAATCCAAATGTATTTATGCACAACAACCTCAAATTGCTGTACAACAGTATATAAAACAGAAACCAAAAGAAACCCAAACATGCACCCCATGTTTTTCAAAGGGGTTAAACGCTTCTCCACAACTGTATTTGGGTCCAGATCAAGGCTGGATTAATTTTTAAACACTGAAATTGCTAGTTTACTGCATGTTTAAACTAAATTATTCCATATTTGAAAGTGTTGATTTTGTTAATTCTGAGATTTTGGGTATATATAAAATAGGAATAAATATCATACTTACTGCTGCTGATTACAGATTTTGTGATATGCTTCCATAGATTGGCCTGATGATGGACACACAGGGAATCATTTGTCATACCCATCAAATTGAAAAACGTCTCCATGAACAGAACCATCAAGATATTATGCTCTTATTAGAGGAATTAGAAATGGCTCACATTACATTAGAACAGCTTCAGGAAACAGATATTGCAAAAGTTGTTTATCGGGTCTGTAAAACCTGCCAAGGGACTTTGGTGAAGAAAAAAGCGAAGGTTTTACTGTCAAAATGGAAGAAGCTGTTTACCAATCCTTGGTGCAAAGCATCCTATCACCTTGCAGGAAAAGGCCCTGATGAGAAAAACAGTACTCGAGGGCCACACACAGAGAAAAACCCATCCTGTTGCCAGTCAGAAATAAATGAGACTCACTGTTCACAGTGCGGTCAGTTGGAAGGAAACGAGAGTTTTATCAGTGAGAAAGACAAAGCTAAAGAGACTAATGAGGCAACACAACATAATTTATTCCACTGTGTGGCCAGCAGAGGGGAGGTACTGAAAGAAGATGAGTTTGGTTCAGCAATAAGCAAAAATGAAAACCAAAGTGATCTTTCTAGATTGGAAAACAACGGAAACACCCCAGCAGTTAGATCCCAGCCTGGCACAGTGGAGTACGCTGGACATGATACTTCAGGGGTGACTCTGGAAAAGGTACAGCCTAGCAAGATACCTCTTAGGTCCAAATGTATACAGCTGCTCTTTCAAGCCCTTATTCCTGAGGGAGCTGAGCACACAGAGTCCGCATGGAAGTGTCAGGAAGTTGCCTGTGCGATTGAGGAGCACGTTTTTATCCTCCATGGGAAAAACGAAAGAAAGTACAAGTCTTGCATTAGAAGTAAAGTTTCTAACTTAAGGAACCCTAAGACCCCTCACTGGCGTCAAAACCTGCTGGGTGGACAGCTGAGCCCTAAGGTGTTTTCTGAGATGTCCGTGATGGAACTGGCAAGTGATGAGCTAAAGCAGCTGAGGTCAGCGTACATAGAATCTGCCATTAATGAACACCAGCTTCCCCAAGGCGTGGGCGGGACCCAGACAGATAAAATAAAGTGCCGGCGATGTGAGAGGTTTGACTGCACTGTGACACTCATTTCCAGGGGTACCCTCTTCCTTCCTAGCTGGGTACGCAACGGAACCCCAGATGAGCAGATGATGACTTTTGTCATCTGTAACAAATGTGGTGAGAAATGGTATAACAGTGGATGGATTTGTTTATAGTAACTGGTGCAACCGGTTCGAACAGTACATGTTAATCATGGGTTGAAGGTTTGCATTTCTGGTACAGCTCGGCTCTCTCCGTGGCACTATAAGACAGTTGTGATGATGAGGATCTTTAAGTCATTTTATTGTGAAAATGTTGTTCTTTTTTTTCCCCCAAGGTGCCTCACATTTGTACTGGTTTGTGCAGTTACATTTTTGTGTGTGGATTTTTTGTGATAAGCTACTGTGTGTCTCGTTTTTATGTTATTTTTTGTGTTTGGTATTTTTGACTCTGTATTTTGGCCAGAGATTGAATGAAATTTTCAGAATTTGTTGAAATGAACTGGAAGAACACTTATTAAATTAAAATAGCTATGCAGTGATTGAAGATAATATCTCAGCAGTTTCTGTTCATTTTTATTATAGATGAATAAAAAAGGCCTTCCTTTGTCACTCTCATTTGCAGAACACAGTATGTGTCAGCAAGTACAGCTATAAGATATGTCATGGACTGTATTTTAATCATATTTTAGGAAACTTGTCTTTTCAAGATAAGCACATTACATAAAACAGAACCTCGAAGAAGCTGAAAGTGCCTAAACAGTTGATAATTTAACAGACTAAATCTT